GGTTAGGTAATATCTCACTCTCATAATTCATTCATATGGAATATAGGGATTAGATGGGTTACCTTGCCTGCGTTCTACTATGTCAAACAGAAATTTTAGAAACACTACTAAACAAACGAATGAAATTAATGAGGAAGAAATGAAAATGGAATTTAGGATTTGGTTACCAAGTCTACTAAGTTATTTTATCTCTCTCTCATTATCTTATATTAATGTTGGAGATAATAAAACTATATTTCAACGGGAACTTCCCCTTAAGCCAGGGAGATGTATTATATAAAGGAATCCTGATTTTGCCTGYAAACTGCTGTAATATAAACAATAGCTACATATAAAATTAACTGTTAAATAACAATGAGATCTTCAAACTCAAGTACCTAAATGTTAGGAAAACCAATTTAAGATTACCCAGCATTACCCTGGGCATATGCACTGTGATAATCTGCCACATTCAATGATTGAGATTTGACAATTTCTTTTCAGCATCATTTTTTACTCTATGGCTCTGTGTCTCACCATCAAAATCCTTTTCTAAGTACAGGAGAGTTCTCCAAGCTCCAAGCTTTTCTATGGGTTTCATTGCTTAAATGGTTAGCTACTATACAAGTATTGATCTAGGTCTCAAAGTACATATTCATGCTTACAGGTGAGGAACAACCTCAGGCAACGAGGTTTGAAAATGTTGCACTTAACACTCCCTGTCTCATTTCTGTCCTCCCCAAAATGTTACTCTTCACTGCACTACATTTTTTGAGGCTCAGGACCCACTGAAAGAAATAGGAAGTTTCTACACAACCTTTCCAGGAACTGGCCTAGGTTTTCATGACATAAAACATTTTCAAAGCATTACATGTTGTTTTATGATTACATTGGTATCATCGGTATGATTACATGCCAATTTCTATGGGTTTTATTAAATATATGATTAGAACAGTGGTTATTCTATGAAAGCATGAGATTTTGCTATTCACTYAAGAACTGCTCCTCTTTTATCATCTGCAAATGCAAAATAAAAAATGCAAAAAGAGCTGGGGGGGCGGGATACAGTTCAAGCTAAACCCAAGAAACAGAAATGAAAATAAACATATTTAAATATTTCTGCTCCTTTAACATGTTTTCTGTTGTTATCTATCTCTTTTAGGAATGGAATCAGTCTGTGGATGTGACTCACAAGGTGGCAAAGATTTTGCACTTTATTGTTTTGGCTTGGGATTCAGCCTTCATTGGACCTGATAGAGCAATTCTTCCGAGGACATGTGCGATTGGAGGCAATTTGTTCACCAAGCGAAGAGGAAGAGAGTGGCAGGAGCCACAAGGGAAAGCAGGAAAAGAAAATACAACAGGACAGATCAGAAACATGGAGCTGTTTGGAAAATAAGACTTCCACATAAGAGAAGGGGAGTTTCCACAGAAGCCTGAGAATGCTGCAGCGCTCCGTTCTGAGGAAACCACTGACACTTTCCATTGCAGAAAAGGGGCTGATACAAACACTTCTTCAGACATTATTACAGTTATAATGTTTAGTATTATGTTGAAAGTTAAGCATAAAGATCTTGATCCCCTTCTCCCCTTGTCCCACCACTTCAGAGCAGCTTCCTTCTTGTGGCTGTTGCCCACTATGGCTGAGATGCTGATAATAAATACTTATGTGTGCATTCTGCTATATGCTTAGAGATGATGCCCATACAGTTGACTGAAAGGAAAATTACATAGCATTGGCCTTAATGTCYGAGATAGGCTCCCCAGAATATGCCTTTTTCTGTTTTATTAATTTTTTTTTTCTTGAGGAGTCTGAGTTAATTCATTTCAAAACTGTGGATTGAACTACAACTCCCAAGACTGCACCTTTATCTCAGCCCTTCCTCAAATCACAATCTGAATGTCATTATTTTAGGGCCCGGATTTACACTGTGCAAGCTGTCAAAAGAGAAAAAAATGCACACACAGAAGTGCTGCTGGGCCTGCTGGCTTGTGTAGTTATTTTGTTAATTACCAAAAATAATCAAAAAATAATTAAGAGTTCTTTGCCATATCACACAGTGAAGCTCCTGGCGCAGAACAGGATTTATRAGCACAAGAACCTTTTCTGGAAGAGCAGTCTTGGACACTCTTGTCGGTGTCCAAGAGCTTCACCAGACTGCTCAGCAAAGCTCTTGAGCTTGCTCAACAGCTCCACAGGCAACGGTATCAACGCAGAGCATTAGACTGGCACCAAAGGCCAGCAAGAGAAACCGCTTTGAGGTTCCTGKGCCTTGTGAATCTTCACAGTAAGCTCTGAAAGTCCCTCACGTCTTTCCACAACTCTGACACCTCCTTTGAGCTTTTTTGGTCAGGTCCCACCAGCAGCCCAGCTCCCGGTTTCCTTTACGAACGGAAACACCTTCCGAATCTGCTGGCCCTGTCACGATCCGCTCCTCACCAACAAGGTTCTCCCAGTGCAAAAGCGGGGAGGAAAAGGAGCACTGCAAAATACTCAGTGAGCTTTCCTTCCAAACGCCCTGGGAGGAGTAGGGCAATGCTGATCACTGTCTCACAGCTCAGAAATCACGTTGTTTATCCACAGCCAGAGACTGCGGCAGAACTTTGATTTCTAGCATGGAAGGATTGAAGTGGTATTTGGAAGAAAAATCGTCAAAAGCAGCTGTGCTTGCTTTGTAGATTTTGTATTTCTTTTGAGGTGATTTACATTGCAATGTAGTAGGGCTCAGGTGCTGCAAGTGTTCTGGGTGTGCGATGCCTTCCAGGCTGCCCCTTGGCCTCTTCGGTTAGCTCAACAACCGCCACACAGCACTGACTTGGCTGTGTGCAGCACTGACGGCATCAGTAACTACAAGGGAAAAGGGGAGGCTTCAAGCACGGAAATAATTTATATTTCTTTATTACCAGCACAGCAACAGACAGTGATTTTTATTGACAAGAAGTTAAGAAAAATAAAACACGGGGCTGCCTATTCCCTTCTTGGTCAGTCTGTTATCGCTATTACTACACGGCCGAGTCCCGCCCCGCCGGATCCGCCGCGCCCGGCCCGGAACCTTTTGGAGGCGGAACGCGCAGCCCGCGGCTCCGGAGGGGCGCGCCGGAAGAGGATAGCGGGCACGAGCCATGGTCAAAATGGCGGCGGCCGTAGCAGGCCCACGTGGATGCGGGGCCGCGGCGGGCGAGGAGGCCGAGAGCGGTAACGGGCGGGGGGGATGCGGGAGAGGAGGGCGGTAACGGGCGGGGGGGATGCGGGAGAGGAGGGCGGTAACGGGCGGGCGCGGGGCTTCCTTCCCGCCTCGGGCCGGCAGGGCCCGGCGCCGCCTTGGGCTGCCGCGGCTTGCGGCACCGCTCTGCCCGCGCCACGAGGCACCAGGTCTACCCCTTTGCACTCCCTGGAGGCCCCGTCCGCGCCGGCCTCGTCCCGCGGCGGTTCCGGCCTTGGGGGAGCTGCAGGGGCTGCTGTGGGAGCCGCATCTGCGCGGGGTGCCGCTCTCCGGGCGGGTTTGCGTGGCGAGGAGCGCGGCTGCGGGGAGCTGCCCCGCTCTCGTTATGTGGAAACTGTGCCAGGCCTGAACTCGGCTCCACGTCGCTCCTGTGATAAAACTCATCAAGTTGAGGTTGGCTTGACTCAAAACATCCTCTGACGTATCCAAAACAAGCCCTGGCAGGTCGTTGGAGCCTTGTTCACCTTCCTGCAATGGCTGAAAGTCCCTCAATCATCACCTCTTCTACCACGTGTTTGGGATGAGGCATCAGCGGTTCCTAGTTAATGCTCTTGGCAGAGGCAGGAATCGAAAGGAGGAAATGGATGTGCCCTTTTGCACCTCCCTCCTGTGCCTCCCCTTTTCCCTGCCGCTTCCCACCCCCCCCCCCCCCGGTCTTTTAAGAATTTATTTGGCTAATAAAATGATTAAAGGGTGGAAGTTTAAACTTCTACCGTTTTTAACATTTTGGTTTTTTAATGCTTGATTCAGTAGAACATAACTCTTTTTTTAAGTAAGAATATCTTCCTAAAGTTAAGTACATCTTTCCAAAGAGACAGTGTTAGCTAGACTAAAAGTAGTCAGCTGGTATCAGAATCATTGGATAACTCTCCTTGTCAGTGGAGTTGTCAGGTTCCGTTCATCCCTTACTTTGGGATTTTAAAGCTATACAGGAAGTAATCCATTAAAAAACATGTGAGTGGCACAAATACTGTTGGAATGGTAGCAGACAATGCCAGGACTCTCTCATGTGCTGGTTTTCGTTATGTGGTGAGTCTGCTGAAACAACCAGAGTAGGCTCTAAACTTGAGTGAGGCTCATTCCAGATAACCACCCTCACAGCTGACGATCTTTATTTTTTGCCATTTGACATGGTGAACAGGCWGAAGAGAGAAGATTCCTCGTATAGATTTCAGTTAGTACCTGGCTGCCTGTTCTTTTGTGGTGTTCTCTGTTCTTGATTACAAAGTCCAGTATTTTTATGACTTTTTTTTTAAGAACATGGAGGAAGTAAGTCTGAATTGGCAAGTGTGTGTGTGTAAAGACTGAGGAGTTACTTCTGCCAGAAGTCTTGGTGCCTCTGGCTGCTTTCAGCACACCTGACAACTGCCTTCACTCCCAAGTGCTCTTCCTGTTCTGCTGATCAGAGTCTCTGGCTTCCTTTCCCTTGAGCAAGGGTTGTGCTTCTGTCAGACGTGCCCACCCTTCCTTCAGGTCAATCACTCGGCCTGTATGCTCTTAAACACTAGGTGTCACTGTTGCAGTTTGTACCTAAATATATACATACCTTCATAGGTGGCCTTCTGTATATGTACAATATATAGGGTTTTTTTGGTACTGAATTTTTTTCTTAGCAATCTAGGTTTTGAATATTCAAGACATTACCAGTGCTGTCTTATCCCATTTACCCAATCCCAGTCACTTGAAGTCAATCCTGAGAGGAGCAAACACTTGCACTGTAAACGTTCTAACAAATTCATTGTGGTGCTGCCTGCTTTATTGGCACCATGTTGAGGAATCGGCTTCAGCAGCAAGCAGTGCATGGACCTGAACTCTGGTAACATTTATACTCGCAGTAAATTCGAGTACTGATGGATTTTTACTAGAAGGAAAAGAATTCCAATAGTTTTTTGTTTCCTTTCCCTAGGTTCTGAGTTAAGCTCAGAGCTCTCTGAAGACGGCTACTCTTCAGATGGCGAAGCCCTGGAGGGGGATGATGAGGATGAAACGGTGGCCTGTGGTGATGAGGTGGGAGAGGCGTCAACTTCGCAAGCTGGCCCGAGTGCAGGCTGGGCGGATGCCATGGCAAAAGTGCTCAACAAAAAGATTCCACAGAATAAACCCACCATCTTGGCCARGAGTAAAAAACTGGAGAAAGAGAGAGAAAAGTTAAAACAGGAAAGACTGGAGAAGAGGAGGAAGGTGAGAAAGAGACAACATATTTCCTTGTACAGTCATAGTCTGATGAGGATGTATGTGCCAAGGTTCCCTAAGGAGGCCTTTGGGAGAGCACTTGGAGATTCTCACTTTTGGAATCTCTTCCTCACTCTCATATCAAGCAGCTTGAATTTTTTGACTTTCAAGGCAGGCATGCTGTAAGGCTTCTTAGCTTTTTTTTTCTGGGCTAATCTTTGTCAGCAGGACTACTGTAGTCAGTTTTACTCTAAGCCTAAGTTATTTTTGCTGCTGAGGAAATGAAAAGCAGTTGCTTGAAGCTCAGTTTCCTGCTGGCCACTGTTAAATCTAGTGTCTAAGTGCCTTTCTGAGCATTGTAAGTGAAAATAATTCTGTGCTTCTCATAACTTTTCTCCCTCTCATTTTCCATAAGACTGTTTTCTGTTAAATTCTGCTGTGACTTCCACAATCAAGGGCTCTGGGTTGAAACTGAAGARATTGCAGTAGTTGTTTATGTGCTTACGAATCACTGTGTGTGTTCTCCGCCCTGGTTTTCCTGATAGCCATTTCTTTRTTGCTCTAACCGGGTTCTAACTTATGGTTCTGAAATCACTATGAAGAAAACAAAACCGTGTGGAGTGACTGATGTTTTTTTTTGTTGTTGTTGTTGTTGTTTGTTTTGTTTGTTTTTGGTGGAAATTGAATTCCAGGCTATAACTGATTTCAGAGTGTGTATATATAAGGACTTTTAATATGTCATATTACAAATTCTGTTTTAATGGATTTATAGACTTACCTGTCTGACATTTTGGGAATACTGTGATTAGGCCATAACCTGCCTTTTAGATACAGCACTGCAGTAAAGCATTTCCTTGATTATGGTTACCTAAATGCCTGGTTTCATCTGGTGCTGCAAAGCAGAGGTAGGCTGCAAGGCTCTAAACTGACTTGTTCAGTTAGTTAAAAAAATCTTGAAAACAGGCTGCCTTTTATTAATTTCTTGCTGCTGAAATAGGGCAGTTCTTTTGATCAAAGGCCAAAGCATGGTCATAAACTCTTATGTTCATAGTTGTCTGCCTGGAATTATAAAGATAAGGACTCTGTAATTCCATGAAAGACTTTTTATGTCACACAGACTTCGTGCAACACTGCCCTCTCTAGAACACTGCTAAATTGTTAGATTAAAAAAAAAGTCACTATTGTTACCTCACCCCAGGGCTGGGTAAACACAACTTTCTGCTATTGTAATGGGAATATGTCTGGCATTGCTGTTGCCACTGATAATATTGGGGAAAAAGTGATATTTTTTTTCTTGCTTTGAAACTCTTTGTTTCAGGCACCAAGCTGACCAGTGCTGTACATGGCAGTGGTTCTCCTCTGGGTACTGTGTGCTGTTTTTCCGGGTTGTGTTCTGTGTAGTCTTGGCTGTGTGCCATTGTTGATCAAAGTTGTATTATGGTTCATTCATCAGAAGAGGTAAAATTCTTGAGGCCTAAAATTTGACTTSTCTGTCTTGAGAGGTCCAGAATTTTATTATGTATAAATTGCTCTGTGATCAGTTTGTGAAGGATTGGATTGAAAGCCCTCTTTAAATGATTCTCTTGTCCCTAGCAGTCAGTGTGAAGGTGTTTGAGTTTTCCCATGGCTCTTCTTGCTTGTCTCCAGCCGGAGGCGTCACTGTGGTGTGACTCTGATCTTCTTGCCACAGAGGTTTTGTTTGAGGTTTGGTTGAGGCCCCTTATGTGTCAGTGCTAGAAACTTCCTTCAGACCCCTTGTCCAGCCCTATAAAAACATTCTAGAGTTCCCCATACCCTTTAGCAAACTGAGCTTTGTTGATTTATCGTATTTTCCTTCTTGCTGCATATTCCATCAGAATATGCTACATTCTCAAATGCTCCATGTTCTTTCACATAATATTTATCACACAGCTTGATAAAAAGCGGGAGTGGGAAATGATGTGCCGAGTGAAGCCAGATGTTGTCAAAGACAGAGACAGAGAGAGAAATCTTCAGAGAATTGCCACGAGGTAAGAGGTTTTTCCTTTTTCTCAATCCTTTCCCTAAATGCACGTTATCTCAACAGGAGGAAAAGTGTGGGAGAGGGGGAAAAGCCAGCGTAGGTAATCTGTTTCCAATCAGATTGAACTCCTAAGAAGTAACTAGCGGGAGCCGAGTGATTTATATTCAGGTCTGTGTTGTACAGTATCAAGTTCAGCAAAAGATTTCAGAAGCTTTATGAAAGCATAAAAACTTAGACAAGAATGTAGTATTTGCTTAGCAGAAGTACTTTACTGCAGCACCTTAGTTTTATGCTTTAAAAATGCTGAACAATAGCTTCTGTTTCTTGTTTTTTGTCAYCTTCATATGGCATTCACCAGCCTCACTTCCCTTGTGTTCAGTTGCCTGTTTTGCATTACAGTAGCTTGATGTCACGGAACTAGCTAAACACTTCACTCCTGTTCTGCCTGCATGTGCTTGTCTCCTTACAGGACTTGTTCTTTTGCCCGCCTTCCCTACATACACTATTCTTAATATCCAGCTTAAGGAATTTCACAGCTGGTTGTAAGAAGAATAATGTGCTTCTGGGGATGGCATGTGCTCTTGCATTAGGCTTGGGCCAAGGTACCGTCCTTATGTTGGGATCTGAGAAGTTGCAGAGCTAAAGTGTGTGAGCCTTGACCACATGTGCCTTTCAAGTGACTTGTTGATTACCAGTTCATAGCAGTAGATGTGAAGGCAGACTGAAAACTGAACACCTCTTGCATCATAGTGAATGTTACTTAACTAAATCGAGGTTGTAAGTGACCTTTTTTTTTTTGGAGTTAGAAGCCTTCTAGCATCTGTGCTGAGTAGAGGCTATGGTAGAAGATTCATTTCAGGAAAGACCATTTGATGTAAAAGGTGTTTTGTTTGTTTCTCCCTCCCCTGCCCGCCTCCCAGAGGCGTCGTGCAGTTATTTAATGCTGTCAGGGCACACCAAAAGAACGTCGATGAGCAGGTGAAGAAAGCTGGGAAGTCTGAGAGGCAACGAGCTAAACTGATGTCATCTGTTTCAAAGAAGGACTTCATCAGTGTGCTGCGAAGCATGGAAGGTGCTAAAGGAAAACAGAATCCCTCTGGAAAGGCAGCAAARAACAAACAGGTAGGCTTCGTCTTAGTGAAATAACTCTCATTGAATCGTTTCTAGTGTAATTATTCTCCATTAATGTGTTTGTTCTCCTGGAGAGCTGTTAGCCAGGCATCTGGGATTTTTGAAGCTAGTTGGGTTTGAATATCTGAGCATGTTTTTTCTCTTYTGAGTAATAAAATATAGAACTATAGAGCAGTGGAAGCTATCTTGTTGGACATCCTTGTGTATGAATAAGGTTTAGGGTTTTTTTGTTTGTTTAAAGAGAAAAATAGGACTTTATCATGGACAYTGTGCCAGGCATGTAGCAGAGACTGCTAGATTTTAATAGATTTTGAAATTTGCAAGTTAGGCAGCAAGTTAACTGCTTCTTAATATTGGAACAGGCCTCATGTCCCCTGTAGTAACTGGGTTTTACGTGCTATAGCAGACCATACAGTTTGTGTGTGAGCACAGTTATGGACGTTTGGAATTCCCTTGCTGTGATGATGGTATCTGGCCCTGAAAGACTTTGCCATATAAGTGAACATTATGACAGAAAGAAATTGTGTTATGTTGGAAAGAAACTATAATGACAGCTTATTAAGGGACATAATAAATACTACATGTAGGATTTTTCTTTCCCTAATTCTGTGCACGTTAGTTGGTGTGGCCGTATTGCTGATGCGATGWCTTGGAAAGAGTATTTTAACGTAGTCTTTCCAAACGTGCTCAAGTGAGAGAGACAACGTTGTTGGATGCATCCAACTCTTGACTGGTTCTTTCAACTCRTCAAGTAGCTTGCAGTTGAAAACAAGTTGTCTAGTCCTGTACTTTCCCATGTTCTTTCGCATATTTCAGAAGTTGCCCATTTTTGAAGCCTGTTTGTGTTCAGGTTTGTTTGAACTTTGTGTTTGGTAGTGGGTGGAATCCTTCTGTTGGCCGAGGCTCACAGCAGTTAACTAAGTGCTTTGCTGTGCCAAAAAGAAATACTTTAATCAGTTGGGAGACAACAGTTTGTCATATGTTTTTTGTTTGTGTGCACTTGGGGAGCAGGCTGAAACACTGCCTGGCATGAAGAGCTCATAGAATTTTCATGCAAGTGTAATATTAAAGTATTTTTTAAATTCTTTGGATAATGAGAACAATTTAGCTTGGTGCTGACACTTTATTTCTCCCTAAATAATTCCAGCTTGCTTGCTTGGGTGGATGGGGTGTGTGTGTGTGTGTGGTTCTTTACTTTTTCTTCCCCCCCCCCCCAGGGGAACAGCAAAAGAACTTCAGGGGAATAGCAGTACCTGGTACTGCTGCTGTTGTTAAAGGTGGTCAGGATTATTAACTTGACAACCGTGGATATTATATGTCAGCTGTAAAAATGGGACAGGCTGACAATGATCCAGTAGCTGAATGAAAACTAGGATTGTTTTTTAAATTTGTGTAAGATTTTAAGCAGGGTAATTTTCTAATTAGTAGGCTGAAAGACATTGGAAATATGTTTCTTTATTCTAGAACAGATGTACTGATGTTGTCAGAATCAGACCAGCATATTTTCATTTAGGTGCTTTGGGGAAATAATGTTTTGGATGCCAATTTGTTGTTGGGTTTGTTTTGGTGCATTGATATTTTCATTTTTCTTCAAACAAAAGCTTAAAACCTGAGAGTTTTTCACCATGAATTTTAAGCTATGCTTACTTATTTGGAATGGCAGTGTCTGCTCATGTAGACTACCCTACTTTTCTTCCCTTTTTCCTTTTGCAGTGACTCTTGATTTGATAAGGAACCGGGCTATTCTTAATCCACCTTATTTTCTCTGGGGAGAAATAAGTTTAGCAAGCTTCTATTCTCTTGGCTTTCTGGTGACCGAGACCAGAATCTGTTTACTTTAGTCTCCTCTTTAGAATTATACAAACATTTTGCCACTGAGCACTACCACTGACTTCTGCAGCAGTATCTCTGCTTGGTCTCTRGGTTTTCCGAAGGATGGGAAACAGGGATGAGGCTCATCTCTGAGGAGATGGTGAATTCCTTAGAGTAGGTGTCTAGCAGGTGTGGGATTTTTCTGTGTGTGTTGTAGCAGCTTGCTTCATTTTCAGCACTTGAGTATGGCGTGCATTTCTTTCCTTAAAAATAAGAGGGGGAAATACMTTTATTTATTTATTTCAACATAAACAATGAAAGAGATGCCAATCCCAAAATCTAGGCACCCTGCCATCAATTAAAATACAGTCCAGAACAATAAAAACACTACCCCACCCACACAGAACAAGCAGTCAGCAAGAAAAATAGCAGAATAAAGTTTTCCCAGTGAAAGCAAATCTCCTCCCTCCCCCAAGCCTTATGCCATGCAGATGAGTGTTGACTATATTCACAAGACTAGTCAAATACTTTTTCTTTCTCTCTGAGGTGGTCGGAGTACACAATTTGCCATTCTTTTTAAAGGATAGTGACTTCTTTCCAATATATTGAAGAAATCCCTTATAAAGCTCTGTTGTGGTTGATTGTCTTGTGTGTGTGTGCGTGCTTATATACGTGCATATGAAATATGAAGATATGTGTTCTGTAAAGGCCCATCGATTGTACCGAGTTTTATCACTTGAGCACAACCAACTACTAAAACTTCTTTCTTTTTCTTGTTTCTTCTCCAAATGGGAAAAACGGGCAACCTGTGCCTTTGGAGGAGCTTTGCTGCTTGTGGCTGTGCATGGTTTTTAGTCGTTGGTCTAAACACTTTTGGAGCGAATTTTCACCCCTCACCTAATATAGATATGAAAAGAAGRTTATAATGTTGTAAAAGTTACATTTGCCATCTGAAAGTGTAGCCTTCTTTCAGGTTTTGTGTGCCCAGATGGGAGCAATTACTTTTCTGAGCTGGTGCCAAGAGCTTTGCCTTTCATATCATTAACTGTTTATCAAGGTATTTCTTAATCCCCGCTGAGCCAGCTGACTTGTGTAACACTTTTCCCTGTGCTTTTCCAAGGTACTGTGCGTAGCACTTGCCTCTGGGTAAAATCACTTTATTTCCCTTCCCTGCCTTTATCCGAAAGCCTCTCAATGTGGGAGAGCCGTGCAATAATTTAAAAATACCACTGGTTTGTTGTTTGCTCTTGTGGTGTGTTTTTTTAATAGTATTTGTCAGGAGATAGAGGGCATTTCTAGCCTTGTTCAACACTATCTTTATAGACCAGGTTTTCAGGCTGTCTGTTTGTTGTATTTTGCTACTGCCCACCTGCAAGATACTTTCCATTCTTGAAAATCCATTCTTAAGTTGCTGCTTTAAAAAAGTATATGTTGGAGGTGCTGTCTTTCTAGGCCTGGAGGCTGAGGTTGGCTTCATRATTGCAGAACCAACACAGCAGCAGCTGCTGGCAGTGAAGGGTCCCTCACACCCCTCCATTGCTGCTTTGTTGTACCTTTTTTTCTTGTGTTCCCAATGGAGGTGCCTTTCTCTCCAAATAACCTTTCAGAGAGTTGCTTCCGAAGGGCATCACAGGGACTTACATAGGTGGCATTTCTGTCATGGATGCTTCTTTCTTATAGTAGCTTCAAGGCTATGAAATTCTCTTCTGTGGCCTGTCAGCTGTTCATCCGGCCTAGCCTGGAACTATTTGGAACTGGTGATCAGAAGTTAAATGATAAAGAATTACAGATTATGGTAAATTCTTACTAGTGAAATGCTTGCTTTCTAGCACTCTTTTGTTTCCTTAACTAAAGATTTTAAAAGAAACTTCCCCACTACACACAGTTGTACTCTTTATGTCGTGATATGTTTCAAGGATATGTTTTGTTTGTGGCTGTAGTGAGCCGAATTCCAGTTCTTGTACCTGTTACTTTCAGGTGAGGTTGATGTACATAACACACTCCAGTTTTAACGGAAGCCCAGTGCTCCAGTTAAAGTCCAAGACTCTCGTGACTTAGACGAGACTCGAGGGATGTTTTAAGCGTCCTTAAATTTCTGGGCACTATTAGTATTATGACTTGAGATTCTGAGATTCATTCTTGATGAATTCTAAGACTTGTAGAGACATGTTGTCTGATGCAGAGAATTACATGACAACTGAAGTCTAAACTGTATGGAAAACAGAGCAATTCAGAGTTAACATTTCTAGAGCAGACTCAACTCTTCTACCCCACTTCATGTCAGTTCCAGCAGGACCATTAGCTACTTGATATCAGCAAAAGCACTAAAATTTTCCTCTTGGCTTTTCACTTATCATTTATTAGTATTTGTTGTAATGCTACTCTAGCATTACTGGATAACGAAATAAAAACTGGCATGAGAATTACAAATATTCTTTGTCAAGTTTTTGAAGCGTGGGCTTCTGTATCACCCATGTTTGCTTCAACTTGTAAGTTTCTGATGCCAGAATTGCTGCAGAGCATTTAAATGGTCTCAGAATAGTATCTATTCTAAAATATTTTATTAAGAGGAGGAAAGATTGGCAGAAAAAAATGCAAGTGTTACTGCACTTCACCTGTTACTCATATGAGGTTGTTCAGTGCTTGTTGTAGAGCTGAGAGTTGATTTTCTAGTACTGCTTCTTCTGGCTAATACTCATTTTATGAAATGACCCTGGTGTTTGGTGAAGTTTGGTAAAGTGCAGATGATTAGTCAAGTTGTTTGTAACCTTTTAATTTATTCTTAAAGCTTTTAAAATGCATAAATGTGTTAATTGTAAACAGTATTTTCAAGTTGGTTCGAGGGCAGGAGTACCACACTTAAACTCCTGTTCTGACTGATGGCACATCTTGCTGGAGTGGAAGAAGAGGATTGAGAGCTTTTATTTGTCAAATTAGATGAAGGCATAAGTGAGTTTGCAGTTGAAAAGTTAGATCTGTTTAAAACGCTACCTGCTTTTCCTTACAGCTGCAGTAAGTAGTGGCCATTCTACTCTACATTCTACTTTTTACATTTCTGTACTATAGAAAAATGGATTATTTTCATCCATACACCTGTTTAGATGGACAGGCATGTAAACACCTGCTTCAACCAGCTCTAGGAAATAATTTATTTCTGCTGTGTGCTAGAAAGCATAGAT